GGCAAACCAAAGCTCACAGACTATATCCAACCTGTAATCTATGGTCTATGAACTGAAACAGTTTTTACAGTTTTTGAATGGTTAAATCAAAAGAGTACTATTTCATGACACTATTTCACTATTCCCTGACTGGGAATCGAACCAGTGACCTTTTGGTGCATGGGATGATGTTCAACCAACTGAGCCACACCAGCAGGGCTAGTTGAAACAATTCTTTGTGGGGGTTTTATTTGTCATTCAGGAGGTTATTAAATTGTTTATTGATTACACATGATAATGGGTGATCACAAACCTCATACCCATGTATAATTTTACCTGGTACTGTAATTCAATTTTGATATACTGTATAGTCTGTGCCAACAATCATTAATAACCAAATAAACTATATGACTCTCCTTGGGTGACCTTTTTAATAGTGAATTCCAGATTACAGTACAATAACTTGTCAATTCAACTGCACCAAAGTTTCTGAAGACAATGCTCTGTGCCCAAGCAGGTTGTAAATAAATTTCAAATGGAACCCAGCATCACCCTGAAGGAATTCTAACTTCACACTGTTGGGGTAATTTACAAAGATGCTTCAGAGCAGACTAACTTTACACAGCACATTTTATTTTATTTTTTTATTGACTAAGTTATTACATATGTGTCCTTATCCCCACATTACCCCCTATTCCCCCCCCCCCCACACTCATGCCCTCACCCCGCTGTTGTCTATGTCTATTGATTAGGCCTATATGCTTGCATATAATTTTTTTGGTTGATCTCTCCCTCTTACCCCCACCCTCCCCTACCTTCCCTCTGAAGTTTGAGCACATTTTTTTTATAGACACATTTATTCAGCGTCATGATCAGACTATTACATTTAGCAATCAACAGCATGGGTGCAAAAAAATTTATATTAAAATTTTTTGTTGGAATGCTTTACACTCTTTTTTTAGTCACACCCGAGGATATTTTTCCATTGATTTTTAGAGTGGAAGGGAGGGGAAGAGACAGAGAGATAGAAACATCGGTGTTAGAGAGACACATTAATTTGGTTGCCTCCAGCAAGCACTGTGACCAGCGCCAGGGATGAGCATGTAACAGAGGTACGCGCCCTTGACCAGAATCGATCCTGGGGTCTTTCAGTCCGCAGGCCGACTCTATCCACTGAGCCAAACTGGCGAGGACTGCTTTACACTTTCTACAGAACAGAAATTAAAATAACCTGTTATACAATTAGTCACAAATACAGTCCTCTAGTTTTTTTGCCCATTCACATGAGTATTGTCTAACACATGTCTTCTTTATAGCAGCTAGGCCCTATCACCACTGTGCCTGGTTTAGTTCACAAATCTGTTGTAATCTGTACCTTCCCTGTCACTTCTCTGGCTCTCCTCTCCTGCTAAGCTTTGTTTCCTGGCAGCAATTAAAACCTTCTGCCACTGCCATCGCC